TGATGCTCTCGCTGAGGTTGCCTTTGCAGCCCCCAAACGTAAAACGAAGGGCCACTGAGCCTGTCTTTGCCGCCCCCAATGTAAAACGAAGGGGCCCTGATGCTGCTGATGATCTCGCTGAGGTTGCCTTTGCAGCCACCAAATGTAAAACGAAGGGGCCCTGATGCTGCTGATGCTCTCGCTGAGGTTGCCTTTGCAGCCCCCAAATGTAAAACGAAGGGGCCCTGATGCTGCTGATGCTCTCGCTGAGGTTGCCTTTGCAGCCCTCAGATGTAAAACGAAGGGGCCCTGATGCTGCTGATGCTCTCGCTGAGGTCGCCTTTGCCTGCCTTTGCCGCCCCCAAATGTAAATCGAAGGGGTGATGCTGCTGATGCTCTCGCTGAGGTTGCCTTCGCAGCGCCCAAATGTAAAACGAAGGGGCCCTGATGCTGCTGATGCTCTTGCTGAGGTTGCCTTTGCAGCCCCCAAGTGTAAAGCGAAGGGGCCCTGATGCTGCTGATGCTCTCGCTGAGGTTGCCTTTGCAGCCCCCAAATGTAAAACGAAGGGGCCACTGAGCCTGCCTTTGCCGCCCCCAAATGTAAAATGAAGGGGCCCTGATGCTGCTGATGCTCTAATGTAAAACGAAGGGGCCCTGATGCTGCTGATGCTCTCGCTGAGGTCGCCTTTGCAGCCCCCAAATGTAAAACGAAGGGGCCTGCTGCTGATGCTCTCGCTGAGGTTGCCTTTGCAGCCCCCGAATGTAAAATGAAGGGGCCCTGATGCTGCTGATGCTCTCGCTGAGGATGCCTTTGCAGCCCCCAAACGTAAAACGAAGGGCCACTGAGCCTGCCTTTTCCGCCCCCAAATGTAAAACGAAGAGGCCCTGACGCTGCTGATGCTTTCCATCTGTCTGCCCTTGCCGCCCCCCAAATGTAAAACGAAGGGATCCCGATGCTGCCGATGCTTCAGTTGTGTCTGCCTTTGCCACCCCAAACGTAAAACGAAGAAGTTTCATCAGATGCTCTGCATGGAAAATCTATGCCTGATCCTATTTGCCAGGATTTGGTTGTGTGGGCTCGTCCCCCCAGAGCTTGTCCATAAACAGGAGTGACAGCATGAACAACCTTAGCGAACAATGTTGTTTAGCTATACATGGACATATTCATTATACTGACAACAGACAAGAACAGTACGGTCACCAGAGTAGTACCAGACGATTGCTTGAATAGGTTCTATGTGCTATCTAGAAAGGAGGAGGGGGACAGCACAGACACTCTCGCTTTGTTGGCTGGGGTCTACCATTCTGAGCGCATCTTTTTTTATTGTGGTCCGCAGCATTAGCCTTGGGCCGCTGCAAAGGCAACCTTCTTTGGGTGCTGACCCTCCCAAGAAAACCACACCAAACCTCGTTCTAGTGGAGGCTTTAAGAGTTAGCTTTAAGAGTCATCCAGGCCAGAATAGGCACCAGGAAAAACATGCCACCAGCTGTTTCCACTCCTGGGTTCTAGCAGTTCCTCATCTTCAGCTACAAGAATAAAAGTCTGCGCCTTCTCGGTGTCGTACTCGAGATTGCCAACAAAGCCTGGATCGGGGCCAGGGGCTCTCCGCTGCTTCATTTTACATTCAGGGGGTAGCATGGGGATTTGGAGAAATCATCGAGTAAAACCCAAAATTACCCTGAATTTAAACCGAAGGAAAGAACCCGAGCAGTTCCAAAAAAAACTCACCAAAGGGAGTCTGCCAGTCCATGACTGTGCGGAGCGAAAATCAAAGCCTACCAATATCATGCCAGGGGCCCCGCACGTGACACCCGCACTAGACCGATCTGACCCAAGTTTGATGCCACATCCTTCTCAGACAGGGCTGTGAGACTCCTTCGTGTCTGCTCCGCGGATATTTCAAGTATTCTTGGGCTCCATGACTGCCACGAACTAATCACGATCACCGTTCCCGCAGTTGGTGCAGGCTCCTTACCCAATTTTTTTTCGGAGTGATCAGTGCAAGGCCAGGTTCCCAAATCTAAACGTCTAAACACACATCCACTCTCTCTCTCTCTCTCTCTCTCTCTCTCTGGATACTATGGATACTACTTATTAGCTTTATGTATATCTATATACACATAAATCTACATATCTTTATACATGTCTGCGTGTATACATGGATACATGCATACATGCATGTTAGCCTCACGCCATCTACAGAGGCCAGGCTTGCTAAAGAAATGCTGTTCGATTCAGCTTGGTTCCCATGTCGCTCTCAGTTAATCCATATAACAAATTCTTTCAACCACATGACTATATCCAATGGCTGATTGCCAGGCTTAGATTCAAGAGCGCAATGCTTGCGTTGCTCTTGATCAACTTCTCTTCAACATCTAGCTGAAGCGAATCCAGGAGTAGTCTGGATTTCCGGTACTCGTCTCCAGTATTTGTTAGGAAGTAAGCCCCAAAAGCCGTATGTACCGAGACCGGCGTGTGTGTATATATGTATGTGTAGATCTATATATATATACATACATCTGCATGCATGCATATACGTATGCACATATATGTGCACTAAGATATACTTACATATATACATATATATATATATGAATACATGTATATATATATATATCTACATACGCTCCAATGACTTGCAGGCTTTTCACTCTGGCCCAGTACAAACGTCTTGGGAGCTAAACAGCTCTTTGCATGCTGAGGTCCGGGCAGGTGGCCTCCTGCAGAAAGGTGCTGATACGATGTTGACAACCGGGGGGTCGGGAGGTAGGAATCTACCCCTCCTCCCTAGTACTCTGGAAGACTCCTTAAGCAAAGTGGCCTACAAGAGGGACCCCTATGTCCACTGTTAAGGGTCCTTTAATAATAAGGCCAATATTGACAGGAGCTCATCTACAAGAAGTCTGCATGCTATTCCAGATACAAAGACATGTTACCATTCATCTCTCATCATCATGAAGGTCTCAACAGCAGCAGGTATCTCCTCTTTGGCCAGCCTCTTTGCAGCTTGTACAGGATCCGCTGCGTCCTGCACCAGAGAAATGCCCTGCCTCCCAACAACCAAAAAAACGCGGCAGACTCCAGCCTCAAATTGTGAGGTCAATGTACTACCCCACACCCAGAGGGCTATAAGAGATAATATTAAGGAATTATCATTCTATGTACATTTGGGCGGGGGTGTGGTGTTGCAGAGCTTGGCTTCTTGTGGCACCCGTCCTGGTCGATGCTCTGCACCTCGCGCATCCTTGCTCGGGGCATATAGGGCTTTATAGGGCTTATGTAGGGATAACGGAGAAGAAAATGGAAGCAACCATTCTAGTGGCTCTCAAAAGGTATGTCCCAACTGCAAGATATGTTCCACGCTCTGAAAATGCGGATCGTCTCCCATGCAACTCTTGCGCTCTTGCGGGGGGCTATAGTCTGGCTGCCTATACAGTAACCCACGAGATGGCTTCTGAGCTTATGTTTCAGATTATATAACTATGATCTAACTACGATATGAGCGATAGTCTAACCTCGTAATTCATATCCCCCTGACTAACCCCTATAAATCCCCTGTATAGTCCCCTATACAATCCCTTCAAGGAGTTTAGACTACAGCTCACATAACAAAGAGCTTGAGGTTCCTGGCCCACCCTGCAGATTTCCGCAATGATTTGCGCAAATGTCTATGCAAGATGCTATAAGGCTGCTGAGCCTTCATCACCTGGGATACCTGGCAAGTAGTGGGGAGGGAGGGCGCCGAAACCTTGCCAGCCTAAAATCCTAGACTGCTAGACCCTACAAGCCGCAAGCCCTATACCCTGTACACTCCCTGCACCCTCATTATGGGCTACGTACCTGCTATGAGAAGAATGAATGCCCTCTTATCCAAAATAAAATCTCTGGGAGGGTCTTGGCCTAGAACTGAACCCTGCGCCAACTCCATCCCAGGGTCAACTCCCGCTGTTGCCGCTCGAGCTCCTCGATCTGTGACCGGAGGTTCACCTTCACCTGCCCCGGTTTAGGCCTTGAGGTTTAGGCTTTAAGGTCCGGGGTCCGCAGAAACCTATCATCCACCTAAGCGTATGGCATACGTCGATCATAGGTCAGAGTAGCTAGTACTACGCATACAGATTGCGCATGTGCATATACTTTATGTGTATATATCTCAAATCTAGTTGGGGGTTCAGGGCTTCTGATGTGTGGTTACACTATGACACCTTGCGGATCGTCCTGCATACCTTCCCTGCAAACATTTTTTGGCAAACAGGCGTGCAACAATCATACAAGAGGCAGGGCAATGAGAATGTTCAGTCCCAGGCCTCTTTCAGCACCTGACTACTTGCATAATGTGGAATCCATGGAGGAGTTTAGATTGCAGTTCCACTGGCCTGGCTATCCAAAGCATTGCTGCGTGAAACTGGAATACCGAAAACAATAACTTGTAAATGTTATTACGAATATTAGTATTAGCAGTATTTCTATTAGTATTATAGTATTATTGTTACTAGTAGTATTAGGCTTGATATTATTGTTATTGCTGTAACTGCTGCAGGCAGAGCACCTGGTAGAACACTCTACAGTGGAAGAAGCTTCTGGCAGTGCAGGTGCCCTAGGAAGAGGTTTATGCGTTACGCACTTTCCTCCTGCCGCAATACTCCTTTGAGCTTCGTAACTATGGGGATTAATCGTTTTGCGCGTAAAGGAACAGCGGCTTCGCAACATTGCTTTGGGAGATTCGCCAAATTTTGGTAAGCCTTGACGCCCCAAAATACATCTCAAAACAACGTGCCCCTTACTGTGAAGGTCGCAAAGCCAAGGGCCATTTCAACGCACCTTCCACCTCAGGCCCCAGTCCAGGTTTCCCGATGTTGTGGTTGGGCTCGATTTTCACAGTACGCTCCTAATTAATACCCAAACTGCCGCGTAATAGCAATGTCTCCCTCCAGAATGTTTGGCTTGACAATTAATTTAGGCGATCGTAGTTTTCACACCCTAGAGGCTTGATACCATGTCTACATACTCCCTATGTAGTCTACATAAGCACTTTCCTTGGCAGTTGTTCATTTCTCAGAATTACGTTCCAATTTTCGTCGCCCAAGCGGGTTAAGATCCAAACTAAACTAGACATGCCTGCCCACAAAATTTCAGAAACTCTAACACTACCAGAGCAGCCACCAGCAGACCTCGTAGCTTCGTGTGGAAGTACCCAGCTTGATTTTGGATCCCGACCGCAAGGGCTCAAGCACCTGATCCAAAGCCCCAGAGGAGGTATTTGTAGACTGTAAATCCCAGAGTAGGTGCAATCTTAATCTTTGAGGCCGCAAGAAAGTATCAATTCTGGATTTTAAGCTCCAAATGGGTAGTATTTGCAGACTTGGATCCCGAGGAAAGAGGGAGCGATGATTTTTCAAGCATTCATGTGCCGACAGGGCCACCAATTATTTTTGCGTAAGCTAGGTACATGCAGGGATCCGTCGCATGCAGTTGGCCGATCAGGAGCCAGAAGAGTTGTAATTGGGTTGGTGCTAAGCAGATTCAATTGAGTTACCATTCTCAGGAAACTCTTTTCACCTACAATATACCGCGTCATGATAGTTCAACTTAGAACTCTTAACTTAATAACAACTCAGACCGGGGCCATGTGGGCCGTTTGGCGTTTCAAGCCATGAGCTCCGCAAAGATTTCTGTTTTCCAAAGAAATTGGGAAGACAAACAGGGGGCCGCAATATAGACCCCAATACACGGTAATCTCTATCATCAGGACTCCCTAAGAAGATGCTCCATTTTTGGCAAACCCGACGTAAACGTGTAAGCTTCAGACTTAGGCTTTGCATGTATGGAATCAAGATGTGCAATGCCTTACTTGGCAATGTCTCTTAGTTTATGGACCCCAAAATGTGTTGATCCTTAGTACTGGGACCCTCAAACTCAAAATGGCACCCCTAATTTTAGGAACCCCCCTCCCTAGTACGCCTTAGTGTTGTTGGATGCAGGAAGTGCCAGGATTTGAATCTGCAGTCCCACTCTCCAAACCAAACCGGGCTACTACTGCGAATCTACCACTAAAGTAGCCGTAGCAGGGGGAGTAAGAAGTCTTTGAAGAATTGTGCAACAAGTTTCCAAACAGTGGGGATCCCTTTGAGGGGTTCCCACCATAACCACTAGGGTCTATATCGCGGCCTCCCTCCTGATGCAAACCATTTACCCTCCATTTTAGGCATATCGTGTATTAGGGTACGCAATTAGGGCTCTTGTTGTGGCAAGCTCCACTGCATGCTTCGCCGAGGCAGATGCGAAAGCCTGTGGAAGTCTCCTTCCGCCATGACGGAGCTTTGGGGCTTGGAGCTCGGCGGATTAAGGGCAGGATTTCAGGGAACATCATCAGCGGTTGTTGACGGAGGTTGCCAACAACAGAGGTCTTAGTAGAAGATCGAAGTCCTAGACCCTCCATCTCCCATCTCTAGCCGTCACCAAGCTTAGAAAATGCAATCTGGCAGATTCCAATACGGGGAAGTGCTCAGCAAAACGCGCGTGGCTCTTATAGCGCTTTCAAGAAATGCTCCTCATGAATGTTCGCCAATCAGAGTTTGAACAAACACTTTCTTCTCGTAAGATAACGCAACGATGATACAGTCTTGCTCTATTGGAGACTATGTTCACGTTGCACTGCGTCGATATCAGAAAATCTGGAGAGTTCCGGCCGCCGCTTACAAAGTATTCTGGCCTTTGTTTAATTTGACAACTAAAGCAGCCCCCAAGCAACCCTGAGATCCTTCCGTCCACGTGAGTACCAAACTTGGAGGCCAGATCCATGATGGCCACCCCGCCAGTAGGCCGGGCCGCCTGCAAAGGGTGGCGCAAAGCAAGGGCCCTTGGGATATGTGAGCTTCAACCTAAACTCCTAGTAACCCTCTTAATAAGCCCTCTCCTATTCCCCTTTGCAATCGCCTATGTAACCCCTTCCAAGTAGTTTCGAATTCTGCTCATCTGGCGAATCTGGGGATACAGGGGTTGCTGGAGGCAAGTTGTTGGAGGGATGTATGGTTTGGGGTTCAGGGGTGTCTACTGAGGATGCCAAAGCGGCAGTAGCCAAAGCAGATGCTGTTGCACTGGTGGCAGAAGCGTTGTACCTGGACCCCAATAGGCCTCGGAATTCGAGATCTTTGGGAATTCTGCTTATATGCTTACCTTCAGTTTGAAGCCCACACAATAGGAAACATACCCTTGCCCACTGCATTATCCGTGGACATCAGGTGAGATCCAGTCAATATTTCCCAGAGAATTCATGGACATGGGTTCCTACCAGGCTATATACCACTAAAGGGAACCCTATGTTCACCCTTACCACCCTCCATAGTCACTTGGCATCCCTAATATTCCAGACCCTGAACCTAAAGTTGACAGTAGCTCAGGTCACTGTTTGGCCCCGTCACCTCGGCTTTGGTGTGCAAAATGATGGTATGCTCCCGTGACGTCGAGGGATGCATAGCCACCACGGCGTTCGATGGTAGCCTTGTCAAAACACCACGGCACTTGGCATCCCGTGATAGGAATGTAGGGGAACCGCAAGAAGTCAAGGGTCTAAGGTCCTAGCTAAAGTAGAGAGTACACATGGGCTGGGCTGGAGCGGCAGTATAGTCAGAGCATCTATTGAGAATTCCCGGCTAGGCAGAATTTTGTAGTCTGGTCCTGTTTCGAGCTTTGCACTGCGGATCCTACCTACAGAAAAGTGGCGTTTTTCCTCTGCTGGAGCGTATGACTTTTGTGCTCCTGGTGAAACCTGTGTTGCATGTAGACCCGTCTGAAGGTTCTGCGTCAAGTTGAACTGATGAAGTTAGTGGGTCAGTACCATGACCTGAAGTACTAAATTGCATGCAAAGTTCACGATCACCCCGTCTTCCTTTTGGCACCTTGTTGTTGTTGTTGTTGTTGCGCATCACTTCCAGCCTTTCTACTGAACATGGATCGGACTGCAGATGTGGCAGCAACTGCGCCGCTAGGACGGGAATCTAAAATTAGGGGTCACGCTTGATCGGAGAAGATCGCATGACTGCAAAAGTGCGCCGAGACCTATTTGCACAGCGTGCTGAGTCAGAGTCCAAAATCGTGAAAAATAAACAGCATGTTGTACACTGTCCCTGTCGCTCAAACTGAATCAGAATCACTCCTCAACTTTTGGGCCCTTGTAAGTAGATCTTAAGCCGCAAAAGCCAACACTTTGCAAATCATAGAAGGGAAGCCTGACCCAGTGGGTGCAGATATCTATATAGTATGTACTTAAGGCCCCAAAAAGGCCAAGTATGAGCATGTACTATGTGGCTACGTGGACCTTTTGGCTGAACTTTTTACAATCAAAACCCTAAACCCTGAACCCCCGCACAATCTTGGGATGCAGCTTCCCGAACTTGAAGTACTCCTTGCCGGCCAGGCGATGCACCTGGTTCGATGTTGCCAGAAAGGGTTTGGGGCTTCACAGGTCGGAGGGAGGTTTAGGCTTTAGGGTTTAGTTTAGCAGGAGATATGAATACATATATGTATATATGTATAATATACACATATATGAACATGCGGTCCAGGGTTCAGGGTGGAGGGGTTTAGGGTTGAGGCTTGGGGTCTCCTACTTGTATAAAGCATGACACGGGGGTGGGTGGGTGGCTTCCAAAAAAAATCTTCTTGGGTTTTTTGGGGTGTCCAAGAACAATCATTGCAATATATTGTAATATATTGTAGTATGTGGTGTGTCTAGCGCCTGTCACCGGGGCCACCCTATATATGGAAACGGCCATATGCATGGTCCAAATGATTTCGCGATGATGTCAACGACCACTGACATTGACAACGACGATTGCGAACCAATGTCAACTTCCAACTTCAGGAAGTAACGCAGGCATAACTGCATGCATGAGATAAGCAAACTTGATGATACTTATGATGGTCATGGTGATGGTGATGATGATGATGATGGTGATGATGATGATGCCTGTAGTGGAGTAGCTCTTATGCACCCGTCTTGCTAATGAAGTATTTCAGGGCTGTCTAGTTGCAGATGTCTGAAGTACAGTATCTGAGTTCCTCCCTTTCAGACTGCTACCCTTTGCGGGTCATTGCAGGGTTGAAGGTCTACATGTTGCAATGCCGGGATCCTTTGCATAGGAAGCCCCTAAACAAGGACCAAGAACCTCAACTCGAGAAATACCCTCCTACTTTACAAAGTCTCTGAGAGCGCTGCCTGCTTCTCTCCAGATCCGTCATCCTTGCGCCAGCAATGCATCTTAAGTCTGACGCGCACTTGGCTTCTGCGCTCTGCATCCACTGCGCACTTCAAGTATGGCATTTTGCCTTGCGTAGTCCCATACACAAACCCCTGGCACAAGTGATGACGACAACTTGTTGAGCACGTTGTAAAACTCAAATACATCTTTGCAAGGCGTACGGATGCCCACACAGCCGTATCTAATCCTTGTCTTTGTGCCAGTGTGCCAAAATTCTGGCAAAAAGCTTGGGCCTCCTACATGTGGGGCTCTACAACTTCAAGTGCATCTACTTCAGCCATAGCCCGCAGAGCTTCATGGGGCAATGTGTAAGCCCGCATATGCAGAAAATTGTAATACACCCCAAGACCCTACCCTGCATACCACTTGCCCCGAAACCCTTTTCCAAGTACTTAGCACCTTACCGCTTTTTCTCAAAGCATTGCTACCCTTGAAAACCCTTGGGGCAAATGAGGATCGTAGGAAAATTGAAAGACCTTCTCAAGGGTTCCATGGCAATCAAAGTCGAAACAGAAAACAATGATTTCCAGGAATAAGGATCCCTCCCTCATATGTTCAGTGTACTGGAATCTTAGACAAGAACCTTGCCCAAAGAGAACAGTTTTGAAAGCCCCACATGAGCTATAGTGAAAAACTCCTAGCATCCCCCTAAATAACCCCCATAGCAATCCACTATACAATGCCCTTTATAAACACCTTTACAGATTAAACCTAAACCCTAAACCCGATATAACCCCCTGTACACGCCCCTATATAAGCCCCCATATTGCGCGCTTGGAGGAGTTTAGACCCTAAACCCTGAACCCTACACAAACCCCCCTCCCCGCCCCCTTTCAAGAGTTTAGACTATAGTGCACATGGCTTATTCTTGAAATCATGCGCCCTTTTTTTAAGCACATATAAACTACATTACTGCACGTAATTTTAATATCTAAGGTTACAAAAACGGAAGCCCGTTTTGGGGAACTACCTCTAAATCCTAAACGCTGAACCCTTATATAACCCCCTTAAGGAGTTTAGACTTTAGTATACTTGAAGTAGTGGCCTTGCACTCCACCAACTCTACGGGTGGCCAGCGCACGGCCTCGCTTTCCAGCTGACCTTCCGTGTGAAATGACAAGAAAAGTTGGGAGATGCCCCTTGGGTTTAGGGTTCAACGGTATAAGGTTTAGGGCTTAGGGCGGCTTAGGGTTTAAGATGGTTTCAGGGTTTAGGGCTTGGGGTTTAAGATGGTTCAAGGGTCTAGGGCTTTGGGTTTAAGGGTTTAGGGTTGAAGGGTTTAGGGCTTAGGGTCTAGGGGCTTAGGGTTCAGGGGCTTAAGGTTTAAGATTGAGGATTTAAGGGTATAGGGCTTAGGGTTTAGGGCTTGGCTTAGGGTTTAGGGCCTAGGGTTTAGGGGTTGAGGGCTTAGGGTTTTAGGGTTTACGGCTTTAGGTTCTTGGCAGGTAACACGGGGAATATGATCCCTATGTAATCGCCATATAATATATTCCCTTATTTCCAGCTCCTGGTCATACGTATTTATGTGTATAGCAGCAAGTACGGTGGTAGCTAAGGCATCCTGCTGTTTTGGGGTGGTTCAACTTTTGAGGGCCCAGGATTTTACATCCTGGAAGATCCAGCGCTATGATCATGGGTCCTCCTATGACTGTACCCCCCCCCCCCAAAACCCCCAAGGTTCCCTCTCTAAACGTGATATAAGGATACAGTGCCTAATCAAGGCTAATTAAAGGGAACCTTGGGAGGCCAATGATGTGAAGCCAAGGAAAGTATCCCAAACATCGCCCTGTGCTTTCACCATTTGGGGCATTTCGGCTTGGACAGCTAAATTTCGAGGACCGGGTGCCAGTTATTTGGGTAGCAGGACCAGCTAACTAAAGCACCGACTCAGAAGCTTGGACACTCCCAATTCTACGGATGCCAGTGTGAGACTAACTTTCACAAATCAGAATTGGGCCATGGGAACTGTCATGCCAGAGCATCTGCTTGGGTAGTACTGGTCTGTAGGTGATTGCACCGAGCAAGCAAGATAAGGCGCATCTTTTGGAAGCTACGGCACAAATAGCAGCGTTGGATCTGACCACTTATTGCGAGGGACACAGTATACCCGTCAAAATTCTACTCGGCTTGGGTTGGGTTCACCCCCACGCCCCCCAAGAATATGTGGGGAGAAACTAGTGATGGCATGGGTTCTTGATCAGGAGTGTAAGGCCGGATTGAAGACCGCTTGTTTGAAGATCTGTTGGTAATAGCCTTTGGGTCACTACAGAACAGAAGGCCCCCATGCAGGACTGGGCCCCGAAGGTCAGGTCAAATTCGCTTACCTGAAAATGACGAATAGTCTTATACCTTAAGGGCACCCCAAACCCTCAACCCATTCTTCATCACCAAGGCGCAGCAAAGAAACAGCCAGGAAGCGAAGTCGGTCTCATCCTGCACGCTGGCCCGCACTTCCATGAGGATTCCTCCGAAGTCAGCAGTAAGGCGAGTGAACTGTTGATGGGCTGAATCCTGCATCACCCATAGTTACCAAGGAACCTACCATAGTTCCCAAGATTTAGGGTACTGAGAGTGTTTCAGGATATTGTCCATCAACAGTAGTCAGGCAAAGATCCACCAGGTGTGACAGCCTTATCATCTTCCCATGACCCATCATTTCGAGGAACTCCCCTTTCCCTTTTCAAGCCGCGCTCTTCCACACTTCTCTGAACCAGCTGAGGTGCTGCCCAAATGGTTCTGTCCACGTCCTTTGGTGGAACCTTAGCTAGGATGGGAAGTGGCTGAAACCATCATTGTCCTCCAATTCACTTACGCATGCTCATGACAGAATACTTCTCAACATGGCCTAGCTGAAGTTGTCGTACCTAACGGCTGGGCCTTCAGTGATCAGTGCCTGAAATAAGCCAAGCAGCCCCAGAAGGTGTCCTCGTCGTTCTCCCACCTTTTGCTTGCTACACGCTCCAGATACAGACAAGCCGCTTGTGACAGCCTTACCTGTTTCTGATGGAGAACGGCTGCTTGTAAGTCAAAGTGCATACCATTGCGTCCTATCATTTGATGTAGCGATTGAATCCGCCATTCTCCGCTTTTAGGCTCTTCAATGATGACGCGTATGAGCATAAACGAATGTCGCAACGGCCAGCACACGCGGCCAGGGCACACCAAATCTCGGTCGCCAGTCTCCTTTAGCTTTTTGCCTCGTGGCAATGACATGATCAACCAAACGCTGCCCTGCTCATATAATGGTAAAGTACGAATAGTAATAAACAATGGTAATAATAGTATAGATACTAGTAGTAAAGATAATAAGAAGACTAGTGATAAATTTAGTGATGTTCCACTTCTAGGCCAGTAGGCATGCCTGCTCGGTCCCAATTTTGAATTGGCGACCTACATAAGCCTGACATACCGAATCAGAGTGCTGTCCAATCTGCTGCAAACTCCTATCTGAAGCTTTGTCCTTCGCTGGAGGATCCTCTAAGCCTGGTGCCACACTAGCATGGGCCCACATTCTTCTTCCCTGCATGATGCCTCTCCCTTGAACTATGTTCTGGGGTAAAAGTAGGATTCAACGCTTCCTGGACCTTGCTTCGGGATTGAGGAAGGAAATCTTCAGTCTTGCACCACCTCGGGCCCCTAAACTAATTTTGCTACACCTAGAGGACTTTAGGACTTATCGTGTTGCAAGGTTTCCCTTGATCAGCAGTAGGTCTTTGTATCGGCGTCCGGGGTACGGAACTCCTCGCAGCGCTGGAACTTGTCCCGCTGGATTCGCTCCATCGCCTCTCAGGGAGACGTGTCTCAAAACAGGACTGTATGACATAGTCTAAACTCCGTAAATGACAGGGGATATATAGGGGAGCATTGTAGGGCTGATTCAGGGGGGTATTAAGAGTGTAGAGTAGAGCTTGTATAGGGTTACTAGGGATGATGGAAAAGAAAGTGGGGAACTACAAGCTGGAGTTGAGGGTTTAGGGATACCACCCGACAATAATGGAGAATTAGATGGAAAAGCATTTGGAAATGATGTGGAAACTGGATCTCGCATAGGAACAAGTGGATCAACTGTCAATTAGGGGCACTGTTTGGCACAAGTGTTTCGGAAAACATGTTAGCTGAGTGTTTAATGTTTATGCGCTTTTTGTGCAAGGGCCTTTGCCGACCCGAGGTTGAGGATTTCAGGCCTTGAAGCTTTAGGGTTTGCATGGGCTTGCAAGAGTGATGCACGGGCGTTTCCACGGACAAAGCCCATATTGGCCCTACATAAACAAATGTCAGATGCCAGACAGGGGGTTCTGGACCAGAAGCTACGAGTGCCCTTGGGATCTGCAGACATGAGCCGATTGAAGCGCCACCTGACGTCTATGCATCACAGGTGATGGGACAAACCTTTGGTTAGCTTGAATAATGAAGGAATGGACAAGAACATGGAAGTATAATGGGTTATATAGGGTCTACTATAAGGATCCGTTCCTTCATTCCTGCGTAACCAAAGGTAAGTATGTAGGACAAACAAACAAGACAGCCTTTGCTTCGTACGGCAAAAGGCATGAGTGAACAAGGCAAACGTCCATCCGCACTACTCGGGAAACGTCTGACGAAACGCTGATAGTAGTTTCTAGTGTGTTTTCCGTGATCCCTGTAGAACCCGAATATACTATAGTAGTTTCCATTTTCTTTTCCATTATACACATATAACCACGAAATACTATACTAGTTTCCATTCCATTTTCCATTATCCCCATATAACTGCTTAGAGGACATCTCTCCTTAGCCTGCCTTGAGGCGCGTGTTGTGGCTCCAGTCGGATGCTTCCTGCACAAAGAGGTTGCTCATAACTCCCGACATAACTGGCCATAACTTGCAAGTCCAAGCCTCCCAGTATTCCGAACCCTCCTGGATTTCCCAACAACATCCTCTTGCTCTGACAAAGAGCCCCGCCCACTAGACTCTTTCAAATCACGCCGCACGTACCTTGATGTCAGCCCTAGTCACTAAATTGTGCGAACCAACATCGAAATTGACGCAGCAGCTCCCATCAGCCAAATGTCGCTTGTCTGTTTAAAGCAACTACCCTCTGTGAACGTAAAAGCATTGCAAGACAGAGGTGAAGAACCTGCATCATCTCTAGCGCTCTAGCTTACAGTTCAGGCTAATGTAGACGCATGATGAAGAGACCCCCTCCTTTCAAGGGCCCAACTATTAGGATCCCTATTATTGTCCCTATTGACGGGAGGGGGTTTATTAATCACGGGCTTGGGTTATATCCGCCTAAACCCTAGACCCGAAACCCTAAATCCTAAACACAAGACCCCAGGTTGGGGGGATTTATTAATCAGGGGTCTGGGTGATGGACACCTTTGCCCCAGGTTGGGGGGATTTATTAATCAGGGGTCTGGGTGATGGACACCTTTGCCGCAGCTTCTCGCAATGACAGCGCTAAACCCCTAAACCCTAAACCCCTAAACACCTCAAGCCCTAAACCATTAAACCCCCAAACCCTAAACCCCTAAACCCTTAAACCCTAAACCCCTAAACCCCTAAACCCCTTAAACCCTGAACCCCTAAAACCTTAACCCTAGGTGCAAAGCAGTAACAGGGCTCCTGCTCATTCTCCACGAGCTTCAGAGCTGCCGACAGTTCCAGGGCGTCTGGAGCCTACCAAATCCCAAAAGGTCCACATACCTATGTGGGGGTTTCCCCAAATTAGGGCTACCTTTTTGGGGGTCCCCATAATAAGGATTATAATATCTTGGGGTCTATATTGGGGTTCCCTTATTTCGGGAAACTTCTATGTATCACTGTTCCTACATGGCCACAATGGTCCATGTAGGTATATGGTTTAGGGATTAGGGTTTAGGCTTTAGGCTTTAGGGTGGCTATGCGGTACATACTTAGGGCCCAAAAGGACTTCCATATCACTACTTTGGGGCCAAATTCCCGTATGGCTACATAGACCCTTTGGGAGCATCGGCGTATATGGCCACTGTTGACTGTATCTGTATACTGCGTGATCCTGTTACCAACACAGGATCTTAATACATTAGCGTACGCCGTGGTCAGACATGGGATCTCTAATGAGTGTACATGTATCCCAGTCTAGGGGATGCCATGGAGCTTCTTCCAAGTGAAGCAGATGCGGCTGAGTGGTCCCTACAACAGGCAGGTAAGGCGTCCCGTCTTTGACTGCTGGACACGCCGCCCACATGGGCGAGGTGCCAAGCTGGAGGTGTCTATGTACCACACCAAATAGGAGGATCCTGCATGAAGGATCGTCAAACACAAGCACCCGCATGTGGAAAGGGAACGTTCCCCGCCTGCAGCCGATCTGAAGCGTCTGGGTATTGAGCTGCTAGCAGCCTCAGGTCAACACAATCAGGAGTGCGGGGTAGACGGATTCGTAGAAACTCCATAGGGTACGTAAGGACTTATAAAGATACACAACATCTAACAGATCCAGCATGGAGGGGCGTGGGGTATGCTTGAAGAGCTCGGGGAAGCGTGGAGTTTGAAATCAGCCATGCTTTTCAGTACCTGCCAGTTGGATACAAGTGGCCAGGTTAAATGTTTCTCGGAACTGGGTCCCCAAGAAAACTCCAAAAATAATTTGCGGCTAGCTTGCTTGTAGCTGCTATTGGGTCTTTCAATGTGTCAGGAGAGGAGCTTGTAGCAGCCGCTTCTTTTGTTATCTCCGCAAGGCGCGGTGGGCATGCGGAATCCCAAACTTCACCATCTGGGATGGGTCCTACAAGGTGCTGTTGGGCTGTTTGGGGTGTTTGGCCGGGTTAATCCAGTTTTGTGATGAACAGCACACCCGCAAAGAGGGTACTTATAATTCAAAGCAACACCTACTGCAGCGGAGAGGGGTGCATGCTGATACGATGTGCCAGGCTTAGCAAGTCTGACATCTGGATGCAAAGCACAATCAGTTCGCCTTTAGCTCATGGGTTCATAGAACTATCATAGAATGACTTGATGCAAAAGTTGAGGTTTGCGTAGTCTTTGCCAAAGGTGGGGCACCGGAGAGGGGCAGATGCCATGAATACTGATGATAAACGGGATCCAGGCACCCGGGGTGGTCGGTAGAGGGCTAGTAGAGGGTGGGTATTATGCTAGATTACCCAAACCCACTTACCAAGAGCTGTGAAGAATCTCTGTATTATCCCGGTATACATCTTAAACCGTAACCCTGCACCCCTAAACCCTTAATCCCTAAACCCTTCCGCGGCTGTGTGCTGCCATGCTGCGCATGCCTCGCGGAGTGGTGCAAAGAGCTGCCGAAGAGCACTGCACAGGGCTCGTCCAGGGAGAGGAACCTTGGATACATCACCGCTCCAACAGGGTTCGACGTATTGGGCCATTCTTCTACTTAAGCCTCCTATATGTCTTGCAGAGTCGCGGAGGCCTCTGATGTGTC